GTGTTTCATTTGACGTATTTAGAAAATTATAATTAATGATTTCATTTTGTTCAGATTGATAATAAGAATGTAACGGATTAATTAATTCATCACTGTTATTATTTGAAGAATTTTTAAATTTTACAAACAATAAATACCAAATCATTTTATGGGGTTGTTTTTTATATTAAAAAATATAAGAGCTGATGGTAAATTGATTTATAAAAAGTTAGATTTCGTCTAAAAAATAAATTTATTTTTAACACAACTTTAATTAAATAAATTTAAACATGTAGTATTTTTTAATTTTGTTGCCTTTATCAGTATTATAGATAGGTGTATTATTTTTAGTGTAGCAATTTATTTATTATTTAAATAATAATAATCTTTTAAAAAAATATAAATTTAAATTTAAATGAATTAATTATTCACTAAAAAGATTAATTATTTTTGAATCTTTGCTGTCTTGAGATATAACATTTATATATCTTTTTAATTATTCACACATTAGGTTATTATATAAATTTTTGAAAAAACAAGAGTTAAAAAATTATATGTGTAAATTTAAAATTTAATAAATTGATATTATAATAAATATTTTTAAAATATTATTGACCTTTTCAAATGAGGTTTCTTTAATTACGTTCTTTGGGTTGTTAATTAAAAATTTCTTATGATAATTTATTTATCTACTTTTCTCTCTACATATCTCAAATTTATTATGTTTTAAATTTACATCCATTTTAATCGATAAAATTTATTTATAAAATTTCCTTCAATTTCAACTACAATTAACTATTTTAATATCGTTTTAGTAAAATTTTAGGTATTGTTTTTATTAGTGTCTTATAATTATATATATAATTTTAAATTGTAAGCATGTTTTTCATAAACACTTTAACTTGAAAACCATTCTTATGATGTACAAAGAATTATTAAACATATAAGAAGAAGATGTCTTTTTTACCTTCATGTAATAAAATAGTTGTATAAAATTAGTTTTAGAAAGATTATGAAAATATTGTAGCATCAAAAGGTTTTCTTTAAAGTTAAGAATGAGAATTGAATATAATCGTTTTTCCTCCGATACAAGTCATGTTGAAGAAAAAATAGACTCTTTAAAAACACTTTTTTTATTATAAATATAGGAGAAGACGACTTGATATATCATTTAATTGATAGGTGAAATTATTTTTTCTTTATTTTGAAAAAAAAACAGAAAGATACATCATGTCTGCTCTCAAAAAAAATAAAATAAAGCCGTAATCAACTAAACTAACTTTATTAAATTAGAGAATTTCATGATCATATCATAAAAAAATTCACAGGCGAAATTTTAAAAATCTCTGTTAAGTGATAGTTAAATTCATCATCTTAAAAGCTTTTTCTAGAAAATTTTATGAAGAATAATAAAGACATTACCGTAAGAACAACTATGATAAAAGGATTAATATATCATGGATTTTCAATATATTAGAATGAGACTCTGTAGGTTGTGTTGTTTTTTTTGAAAGAAGAGGTTAAGAAATATTTCATGCTTTCTTAGTTAAACATGTTGACATAGATAGTATGATTTACCATGTTTGTTTGAAACTTTATTATAAAAAATTGTTTTAAAGATCACATAGTTATTAACTACTCTGAAAACATTGTTTATTCTAAAACCTACTGTCGCATTCAATTAATTTACTATTTTTAAATTTCCCAAAAATTCAAGATAATTAAGAATGAGACAAATATAACAGGTTCAATATTAAAAACCTGTTTGAGGGTTTTTTCTTTTATTTTTATTAAAAAGAAGGTTTATTTAAAAAAATTTAGAAGCACTTGAAGAAATTATGATTAATTTTGATTTTTACATAATATTATATTATAAATCAATTTATTAAGAGTTAATCAATACGATATTGATCAATTTTTTACAGTCAGCCACAATAAAACTTGAATTATTTAAAGCATATTCTTGGTGTTTTTATTCCTGCTACTCCTATTACTCTTAAAATCTTTATTCTTTTTTAATAAAAATCTTTCAAAAAACTGTAATTTATTTACTTTTATATTATTTTCTATAACAATGACATCATTTGTTTCAGATTATGAAAACATTTTTTAATTGAATCAAACTTAAAAAACTTTTTCAAATAAGACAGTTTTAAAAGTATATTCTTAAATAATTTTTGAAAAACACAGTCTATATACTTATGAAAATTTATCAAACATTTTCATTTTTATATTAATAATATTTAATCTATTAAAGGGGAATAAAATTTATTGATCAATATTCCATGGGAGTTCATTTATTAAATTAATAAAATTATGTAAAAGCATTGATTTTTCACGCATAAAATAACCATCTTTTTTTGGAATCAAATTTGTTTCACATGAATAATGAATATACCCAAGATACATATAACTTATTAATTTAAAAATTTTTTTCGTATGATTTTTATCAAGTTTAATATCACGTAATTTTGAAATGTCTTCAAAAAATTTAGATATCATAAAACCTCCTATTTCTTCAATTGGATAAAATACATCATCTTCTAAATATCTGTTTACACTTTCAATAAATTTGTCACATATAAAAAATTTATCTGTTTCATTTAAAGAAGTAAAACTTGAAAGAAATTTTGGTTAATTAAAACAATAAATTTTTCTTTTGTAGTTTGTAAATTATCAATGTCATCATTGTTTATCATAATAACCATTTCTTTTAATTTTAAAAAATACGAATGAAACTTAATATACTCGTTTAACAAATCTATAAGTCTATTAATCAATTTTGTATTTTTCTTTGTATAATCTTTATGATCTTGATATGATAAAACATGAACAAATCTCAATAAAAAACACTCAAAAAAATTCAATTTGTTGGGATTATTTTGAATTGTGTTTAAATCTAAATTAGCAATTTCTACTAATTTAGATTCATTAAAATCTTTTGTTTTTAAAATTTTGTAAAATTTAAACGTGGTTATTGAAAATGAAATATATCTTCTCTGTATAATATTACAAATTTTCATTTTATATTGTTGATTAATATCATCTGGAAAAAAGCTATTTTTTAGTTTTCTGAATTTTTTAAATCTTTCCTTTAACTCAACAAAAAAATTAAATGTTTTTTTTGTTATATGAGGATATCGAATAATACTTTGTGTGCTTCCTGCTTTTTCTAATTCTAATTCTTTAAATTCATTAATTTCCATTATTTGTTTAAAATTATTATTTTTAAGTATTTTTTTCAAATTCATCTATTTCCATTATTTGTTCAAATTCATCTGATTCTGTTAGTGTGATTTCTTCATTAGTGTTATTTGTTTCATTTATTTTTTGTCGTTTAACTGGAGGTTCTTCACAATCTAATTTATGTGCTTCATTTGATGTATCTAGAAAACAATAATTAATGATCTCACTTTGTTCAGATTGATAATAAGAATATAACGGGTTAATTAATTCATCAGTGCTATCATTTGAAGACTTTTTAAATTTTACAAACAATAAATACCAAATCATTTTATGGGGTTATTTTTTATATTTAAAAATATAAGAGCTGGTAATTTGATTTATAGAAACTTAGATTTCGTCTAAAAAATAAATTGATTTTTAACACAACTTTAATTAAATGAATTTAAAGAGGTAGTATTTTTTAATTTTGTTGCCTTTATCATTATTAGAGGTAGGTGTATTATTTTTAGTGTAAGTTATTTATTTATTATTTAAATAATAATGATCTTTAAAAAAAATATAAATTTTAATTTAAACGAAGCAATTACTCACTAAAAAGATTAATAATTTTTGAATCTTTGCTATCTTGAGATATAACATTTATATATCTTTTTAATTATTTGCATATTAGGTTATTGTTACAATCTGAAACAAATGATGTTATTGTTTTAGAAAATCCTTAAAAGGAAATTGAAGTAAATAAATTACAGTTTATGAAAGATTTTAAATATAAAAGTGAGAGAGATAGGAGTAGCAGTTATTATATAAATTTTTGGAAAAAACAAGAGTTAAAAAATTATATGTGTAAATTTAAAATTTAATAAATTGATATTATAATAAATATTTGTAAAATATTGTTGAACTTTTCAGATGAGGTTTTTTTAATTACGTTCTTTGGGTTGCTAATTAGATTTTTCTTATGACAATTTATTTATCCACTTTTCTCTCTACATATTCAAATTTATTTTGTTTTAAATTGACAACTATTGTTATTAATAAGACTATTTATAAAGTTTCCTTCGATTTCAACTATAATTAACTATTTTTTATTATTTTTTAATATCTTTTTAGTGAAATTTTAGATATTGTTTTTATTAGTGTCTTATAATTATATAAATTTCTATATTATTATGAATGACAAAGAACATGATTTGATATACTATTTAATTGATAGGTTGTTATAATCTGAAACAAATGATGTCATTGTTTCAGAAAATTACTATAAAAGGAAATTGAAGTAAATAAATTATAGTTTATGAAAGATTTTAAATATAAAAGTGAGAGAGATAGGAGTAGCAACTTGAATTCAAGGAGAGATAAAACTCCAG